TCTGGGGTTGAAATCTTGTTCCTGCAGCCTCTCCCCACCTCCAGCAGCAGGGAGGCTGGAGTGGGAGCAACGTTTTGTTTCCCTGCTGATGGCAGAGCTCAGTGCTGCTCTCCAGGTCCTGCATGGTTTGAGACTTAGCTTGTACCTGGCAAACACCAGTAGCGACCACATCCTTATTTGGGTGCTTTGAGAAAAATCAACCTAAAGAAATAATAAAACCTAAAAAAAATAATAAAAGTGCTTATCTGCAGGTGACCTTGCACAAATTCCAGCTGCCCACCAGAAAAATGGAGTGAGCTACTGTGGGCCATTCACTATGGACAAAACCTCATGTGTGCTATTTTATATATCACACTGAAATGAGAAAAGGAAACGAAAGGGATACTAATGCTCTCCATGCAACCTGTCTGGAATGCAAAATGCACACCAAGGTTAGTAAAAGGTGATGTGTGCTTCCAGGGGCATAGGGGGAGAGCAAAAAAATAAATAAAAGGAATAAAATGAGAAAATCCCCTTAGAAAAATCCCCTGTCTGAAATCCCCTTAGAATGCTTGTGGCATAGGACTCAAATTAAAAAAAAAAAGTGATATCCACATCCTTAAAATTCGTCCTTAAAATCTTTTGTCTTTTGTTTCTAAGCCAATTTTTTCAAAAGGCTCAGTCCTTGGAAAAACATTCAAGCTATAAATTTAAAGGAGGCAGCATGTTAAAACTCCAGCTAGTCATAACACCTTTATTATTTGGGAATAAACAAGTTTGTGCGCACACATATACTTTCCATCTAGGTAAGCATGTCCACATTATAATCTCAGGAACGTTCTGAAATCCCTGCAAAAATTGTTAAGGAAAGGGCCACACCGGCTTCCAGTATTCTTATCTCTAGAAGATAAGACATTACTGAATCAGAAGAACAAGTAGCTGTAGCAGCAGGCAAACTCTGTGCATTATTTCAGTCAGATTAAACAATCATGTATTTGGTGCAGTCTGGAAAAGTCTGAGAATTAGTTTCCCTATAATTTTCTGGGAGGAGAAAAAAAAAAAAGCAAGAATGAAGACTTTTAATGCTAATTCCCAGGCATTAGCTGTAGCATGAGCATATTTGATTAAACCAGATTTTTAATAGTCAAGGCAGAACTATCAATATGAATCACAAAACTTAAATTTTCTTCTTCCTTTTACTGGATTTACTTCTGCCCAGTTGCGCAGCAAAAAGAATTACTGCGGTTCTTGTAGAGATACATTATAAGTGGCATTTACATTGTAAGTTGTTACTGCTGAATTAGTAAGAATGACCATAAAGAGAAGAGCCAGATTAAAGTAATCCTCAATAGACTGAAACTCCAGTTATGATAAATCCTGGAATAAATGTCTTGTGTAACACAAATATAGGTGCTGCTGGGTCTCTATTCAAGTTTAGAACGTGCAGAGCTGATTGTGTGCAATAAAAGTTGGATGCGAAACAATTACTGCAGGTGCAAAATTAGGGAGCAAGGCACAGACCTAGAATGGTCTCAGAGAGCTCTGTGACAGAGAATTAAAACTGAACTTATAGAGTGTGTCTATCGTATCGGTAACTTCAATGGAAGGCACCCAGTCCATTTGAACTATGCTATATTTGTAAGCAGTCACTTCAGGAAGATGAAGAGAAAAAAAAGGCAGGCTTCTTTTTTCCTCAAAAGCAGCCAGCTCTGTAACAGAAACCTACCTGCTAATATGTGATTAATAACTGACTCACTAGTGCATCTTCCTCTGAATGTTCATAGGCCTCATACAGAAAAGATGTTCTTGGGAGATAAATTAAAATCAAATCCCGAAAAAACAACTTTTCCAGTTCTGTTTTCTCCAATGTGTTTAAAAGCTCCACACTTTTCTACTTCATTGTAACCATTCATTTAAGTGGCAAGAAGTACAAAGTTATATTATTCCTTTTTCACAGACATTTTAGAAAAGTCACAGCATGAGAAAGACTCCTAAATGGGCTTGAAGAACAGAACAAGCAATGCTTTGGCAGCCAGTGCACCCTTCCTCGTGGCATACAGTTCACCACAGCCACCCACGCTGCCCCCTTTTCCTATTCTGATTCACAGCAGGAGCCATGAAACCGGCTGATGTTCAACATGCCCTACCAACATGCTTCCAACCTACTACAGAGACTGAAGCTCATAGCTTTTTTCATTACAGTGTGTAGAAACACTGCTTTGTCTGAGCAGTTTCTAATACAATTATATCTGAGCTCAGATTCAGCTACCACATCTTACTCAATCACTCCATGTTAGCTTAGCTGTAGCAATGCCCCGGACAGGCAGAAAAGCAAACGCTGCTGCCTGCATCCCCTCCGGCACTCCCAGGCAGCACAAGTTAGCGCTACGGCAAGTTTCCTGTTGTGCAGCAACTCATCCAGATATAGCAACCACATATAGGAACTTGTCTAAGCCTTTAGTACAAAATAATGTTAATCCATTTCAGCTTATGCTAATCTTGGTATACTCTTTTTTTTTTCCTTTTTGTTACGTACTCAGTCAGTATACCCTGAACAACAACCAAAAAAGCAGTGCTTGTCTCAAAAAGCATGCACACCGTGACATTGAGAGTAGTACACCACAAGGGAGACCACACACAGGTAAACGGTGGATGGATCTGAACCTGCCTGTGATGAGGTGTCTATCACAGAACAGCTTTATGTGCACAATCAGATGTAGAACTGCTTTCTGTGCACCATCAGACATAGCAAAAACACATGTGCAACAGAAACACACTGTGGAAGCAGAACAGGTTCTCTATGGTGGTGGTCAAAGGCTGGGCAGGAAAAAAAAAAACCCACAACTGTAAGGCCAATTTGAGGAAGAAATATCTCCATTATCAGCCTATACTACAAAGACTTCAGAAATATACAGCCGCTATTAGCTCGCCGCTAAAGCTGGTAAAGACCACCAATCCCAGTGTGACAGTGTTGCAACTAAGGACAATTCTTCAGATGGTGTAAAGTAAAATAGTTCTAATTATTATCAATAAAAAATATGTTAAGAGCCCAAAATTATTAATGAATTATCTAAAAGGTTTGCCATTACAAGCACCAGTCTCCATACCACCAAAAAAGCCAAAATAAAACAAAATCAAACCCCACAAGAACATAGAACAAAGAAGCATTTGTGTATAGAGTAAACATCTGGCAAACCAATGACAAATGGGAGGATTAACATTTTGATGTAGTTCCATAAAGGAAAAAACCTCCTCCACTGTTAGAATATTTTAAAAAAAAAACTCATTAAATCAGTCTTTCATACTATCAGTTTCTTCGCAATGCAATTTAAGCTCATTATGTTAAATGAACACTATTATATGTGCAATAAAATAAACACGAGTACTACTTTTATGCTTGCCTACCAGGTAAATCACCCTTTTAAAGATATTACAGTTCTATCTGATTCGAAGTACTTAAACATCCACATTTAAAAGTTGTTGGTGGTTTCTTGCTTTTCACTTTGATGAGTTGGTCCCTGAAGCATACTTTTTTTTTTTTTTCAAAAAAAAAAAAGCACCTAACTACCTAATTTGTCTTCCACTTTCCAGAAACTGTCCTAATACATGGCTATTAAGACCCAGTCCTGTCTTCAGTACGAATACTTACAAAACCATTAAAAGCAGCTGCAAGAAACCAAGAAACCATAAGATAGTTGGACAATAATGTTGTCTAAGGGCACAGTGTCACTGTTAGGTATTCTGATCAGATTTCAACTGATGCTTTTAATTTTCCCCATTTCACTTACATAAAGCAAGAAGGATAGAAACTGAAGAGATGGAAGTTTAAATAAAGTTCATTTCTAAATGACAGAAAGGAGACAGAATAAAGCTAATCATGCTTGCTACACTGGCTAGACATCAAAAATAGAAATGTTTTTATTTCTTCATTAGGCAAGATTACAAGTCAAACTGGAACTGAATCACTCTTAAATTTATTACCTTTGAAAGTTACATTAGGAAACAATTCATATCAAGTGCTTACACACAGCCATTGTTTACATGAATGAATAAATCTACTTAAATAAACAAAAGAACACAGACAAATTATCTTGTATGCAAGTCATTTCATTAAAGTCACAGAAACCAACAGCACAGCTGGGCTTTTTTCGTAACAGTGTGCTGTGAAACTGCACAGATTTACCCTGGCTTGGAACAAACCGCAAAAATGACACTGTCATCACTCTTTTCACCAGGGAGTAGATTAGGTCCCAGAGTTACCTCAAGCAATGTGAGAAATGAGGCAGGTAAGCCCGCTGCTTCTGCGGATACCCACTGTCAGGTAAACCATGCCAGGTAATTCATTGTTTCTGAAGCAATCCAATGTCAGCTCCGTTCAGGAGGCCCAGCTGCCAGCTCAGCTCTTCTGATAATCAGGACAATTATTCAAGGGCCCAAACATGAGGCAAGTGCCTAGGTTTGCATCGGAGAGAAGGTCAGAACAAGGGAAAACGAGCACAGCACACAGACACTTAGGCATTTCACAGGAGATCTCACCCAAGTGCCTCCCTGGGCGATTATTCAGATCTCTGAGTTCCAGTCTACCTTTAAATGCTCTACTGTAGCATATTAAAGTATTTGGGCTTTCAAATATAGTTTGTCTCCATTTACCAAGAACAGACATTTATCAATAATTCTCTGGGTGAATGAGAACGGACAATACACATAGTCTTTAACTGTTTTAGGCATAAAGTTCATCGTTCTCAGAAATTTATTCACATATATTAAAAGGAATGTATAAAAATAATTACTCCTAAAATAATCTGTAATATGCCAAAACAGACTAACCACAAGGTGTTCAATAGGGAAGAAAACCACTGACCTGTTAAACATCTCTCTTCCATCCTTCCAATTGCAAGGAAAATAAATATATGCAACTGTACTTTGGCTACTGGAAATGTAAAAGCCACAAAACTTGCAGCAACAGTGCTGCTAATTAACATCAATCTTAAACATCATTATATATATATATATATATGAACAAGGAAATTAAATTAAACACTCAGTTAAATCAGTAATTTGTTCCATACCAACTGTTAACCTTTTTGGTGCTTATGTAAAGAACCAGGCTGACTACATAATATTCCTTGGTTTCTTCCAACCACACCAAGTCAACACTGACTTTACCCTCTGAATCTGCATACTCTGTGGTGTAGATGTGACCCATGTAGTCATAAAGACCAGATGTCTTGGAAGACAGTTCCATGCTGACTGGGGCACTGAAACACCAGAAGGGCTTTCGGGTTTCATCCAAGACAGTAACATCCATCAAATAGCAGTCCTACAAACACAAGCAGAAGAGATTAGTTTCCTATGCCAGGCCACAATCCGGAAAATCTGTCATAGATTTTAGAAGAAATAATAGGGGTTCAGCATACACTCAATTTTAGTATGAAGGCTAAAAAATTCAAAACACTGCAAAATGCTCCACTGCCCACTGCAAAACAATAGATATGTACTTAGAAGTTCCCCACAGACTTAAATACTGCAGCCTACAAACAGCAAAAATTGTCTCGTCAAACTGAAGGCAGCACTGCCAGTCAGATCAGCTGTTATCCAGAAGACTAAGACTTAAAAAATAATCTTTATTTCTCAAGAATTATTTACCTTACCATCCAAGTAATGATAGTCCTGTCAATACAAGGAAGAAAGCTACATTTAAACTCAGGTGCCAGACCTCTGCAAGAGCAGCAGTGCATGCAAAGGGAGGCGAGTGTTCGTGTGCACCGGCAACAACTGCCCTCACATGCCAGCTGTAAGGAAGGGAAAGGCATGCAACACTTTCTCAACTGATGCAGTATACTGTTGATAAAGGTCTTCCTCCTAGTAATTCTTCTTGGTAAAAATTATTTGAAATAATTCCTTAAATCACTGTATAATGGCATCATTTTATAGTACTAAAGTCAGCCTGCCAGTTCTCGGGCACTGCAACACAAAGGTTTCAAATATGAACACACAGGCTGTGCTCCATTGTTCACATTAGCTGTTACCAATTTTCATGAGTTCTGAATCTCTAAAGAAATAAAACTTAATTAAATGTAGTATATATGCATTATTCCCAAGAGAATCGCTTGTCCCAAAGGCATAACTATCCAACGTTGCATACTGAATGCCAAAACATTAATTTAGAAATGCTTCAATTTCACTGTGCTCCTACTGCTTGAACAATTCTTTCAATACTGCTGTACTTTGGTCAACCAGTGCAAAGCAGATTGCACAGAACCTTATGAAACATTTTCTACAAATCTGATTCTACAGATTGCTGAAAATATGAAATTCAACTCAAACCTCTAGTTCAGCATAATAATTTATATGAGCTATGTATTAATTCCAGCAAGAAATAAAAACCCTCTACTATTCTCTGGCATCCTTTATAAAAGATGTCTATTACAACAAAGGTCGATTATGAAGAATATAGGATGGCCTCGACTGAAGAGGGTTCTTTCTTCACACATATCCTGAACTCCCTGTACTGCAACAGTTAACCTTCACTCAAAAACAAACAAAAAAAAAATCCAGAATTATCAGAGGAAGGGTTTTTTTTTTTTTAAAGTATCGGCAAAATCCCAGGGCTTCTTATTTTGTTATACATTCTCAATTCCAAATATTGGTATATTCTGCTGCTGTGGATGATTTCCCTTGGTCTTCATATGTTTTAAGAGTTTGATGGAGATTGATAGAGATTTATGTTAAAAGCTAAATTGAGCTCCATCTATAGCTATTTCTTGACATGCACAATTTCTCACCCAAAAATAAATAAATAAGTAAATAAGATAGTTTATATTGAATTTTTTTTGGGGGGTGGGGGGAGGAGAAATAAAACACAAAAACTTATGGTGTAAGCACAAGGGACAGAACTAAACTAAAGACTGCTGCCTTAGCACTCTGCTTCCTCTGACAGCTAATGTCTCAGATTTTTGTGGTACCCATGATTATTTTCCACAGAAGAAAAAAAATCTGGCCCAGCAACTGTCAATCACATAATCTTCTGCTATCTACCTAGCTACCTAGTACTGCAGCAAGCTTTCCCACTTCCTACTGTACACTTTTTTTTAATCAAATGAAGTATTTTCTCTAGTTATGTGTTAAAATCCTATTAACCTTAAACACATATTTCTTCTGAAATTAGGATACGAAATAAATAGCTCTGTAGGAACTGACAAAATCGGGTCTGAAGGTTCTCAGAAACCTTAACAGCATATTTTCTACTTTTGTTTCTGAATAAGTACTCACAGAAACAAAAATATATATATTTCAAATGACTGTCTTTAAAGTGATTTTTTTTATTAGTTGAATTCATTTTATTTTGCAATGCACAATACTTCTATTGACATGCATAGAGGAAGGATTTGTTCTTCTGAAAATGACCACCTTCTTTTCTCAAAGATAAATTTAGCACAAGCTGAGAAAAAAGTGCAAAGAAAATTGATTGTTTGTAGCATTTTTTTTCCTTCAAACTCCTCTTGTTTGCACAGAAACAATTAGAAAGGGAGGACTGTATGGGAACAGTATTTCAAGCTAAGCTATAACTGATGTCCACAAAAGCAACAGCAGATTACTAAGCTTGATGACGTATTTTATATCCCCCATTGCCCAGGACTGCAAACCAATACTGTAAACCATAAAACAAGTATATTAATGTCATTGAACAAAACATTAGGCTATTAAACATTACTCCACTTTGCAGTTATGCCAGATTAGCAAAAGAGCAGTTTTATTAACTATGGTTTTTTTTTTTTTCTTTTTTCAAAGTATTTTTGAAGTGTCAAAACTGAAAGCAACTCTACCAAAATCATTTTTCAGTAGGGCTGAAGTTATGCTTACCAGAATTTTTGGTAGTTCTGAAGTGTGAATAAAACATGCACACTCACCACTACTGTAAAAACTGCAGGAAAATCACTCTTGTAGGAAAATGATAGGAGAGAAGGAAGGCACAGTTCTATAGATCGGGGACACTCAAAACAGGACAGTGAATCCAGCTGTCCCACTTGCAAGGCTCGGGAGTCAGCCTGTTAACATGAACAGGGGCCTTCCTTTCTGCCCATGCCCACGGACACTTTAATGCTCTCCAGCAGTCCCCTGTGTTTCACTACACACATACACCACAGCAGAAAAGCACAGTACTTCCCTGGAGTTCCAGAATTACTGCCCACACCACAACAAAAATGTATTTGTAGTACATTTTTTGTCCAGCCTTTCCAAGAGTTGTTGGTCCCAGGCAGTACTCCTGAGCTGAAAACACTGCAGTCATTGTGCATGAAAAGTGGGTCTATCATACAATCTATCCCCTAAGACAGAAAGCACAACATTATTTTTTCTAGAAATTCATAATTTTAGCAATATTTGATTTTTAAGAGATTTTTGCTATGCTTTCACCAAGAAAACCTTTAAAAACATTGCACTGTTGGGATGCACAAAGATCATTCTACTTTGAGATAAGCATTTCAAGAAACGAACACACACACCAAAAAAAAAAAAAAAATCACTGACTGACCTTTACATTGCCTTTAAGCACATCTGTTCTCCAGGATAAGCCAACTGTCCCAATAATAGGCAAGTGTTTCGCGTTATCCTTTACGCTTACAACCGTTAGCCTCAAATACCCATTTTGAATGTCACCTGAAAATATTAACAATATATAGTACAGCATTACTGCAAGTCAAATTAAGCCAACACACTCCGAACGTGCTGCCTGCTTCTCTCCCCATCTTCTGGTCCCTGATGACAAGTGTGAGGCAAGTCTGACACACACCAACAGCTACATATCTCAGTTATAGACAAAAGATACTAACTTTCTTTAAAGGCAGAAAGAAAGCATGAGAGATTTGGAAGAATACCAGAACTAAGCATCTGGGGCTTGCAGGAGGCAGGTGGGAAAGGACAGAAGGAATTCCTCACAAAAATACAGCTCGCTAGGGTCTAGAAACGGGCTCTGGATGTTAACTTAAACCACCTCACTCTACAAGCTCCTTAAGATGCAAAAGTGAATAAGAGAGAAGTAGTTTTCCCCTGGTTCTCCTTCAGTCTTTAGCAGCCAAAGACTGAAGGACGATCAAGAGCAGAAGGGCTGGCCTGTTGACACCCCGTGCTGAAAGCCCAAGCGCAGGAGCAGCCAAGCTTTGTGCGGGGCTGCTGAAGGCAGCCAGAGGCAGAGCACCAAAGAAAGGCTGAGCCTAAAGCTTGAGAACGGCCGAGCCTAAAGCTCGCCACAAAAGCCAGAAGCTTCTTGCAAACCGGCCACAGGACGAAGTGGAAGCCACAATGGGCCCGAGCACAAACCACTGCCAGGGAAGTGTCAGCACAAGCAGAGATCCCAAGAGCACTAGCTGGGCCAAGTGAGAGGGACTCCATGTTGGGAAGTGTGAGGCTTCCGGGAAGGATTTTGTATGGGTGAAGGCAAAACACATCACTCCAGAGAGCAACTCCCAGCCTCCCTGCAGAAACATCCCACAGAATTCAGCGGAGAAAACACAAGCAGAACCCGCAGCCAGAACACAGCTCAAAGCCTGAAGGCAGCGGTATTAGGTATGGGTGACACTTAACCTAGTCGTGAAGTCTTAAGCCTCAGTATACTAAATCAACGATGAGATTTCATTCAAGATAATAGATTTTAGATAAACAGTCAAGCTTTACTGAACGAACACTCAGAGCTTCCTTTTGAAGATGAGCGTTTGTATGTGTTCAATGGAAACAGTCAACAAGCATTTTTTCCACAGGGCTACTCAGATATCTGCAATTCAGATGCAAATAGAAGCGGCTATTCTTCTCACTCATTTAAAATAAATGAAAATTGTAATTGAATTAAGAAAAAAAAATAGAGAGAGGAAGAGACTGGAAAAATAATACTGCTAGCAAATTAAAGAAGCCCAGGATATCACCATTATTGTAACATATATCATCAACTATCACAGCGTCGGATGGGCTGCCTGGCCAAGGTGCAAGTTACAAACCTCCTTTTTGCATCTACTCAGCAACCTCAAGACAGAGCGTAAGAGGTAACATAGAACCGGGAACCTGAAGACTAATTATTAATCTAGTATTTAATCTTTTTTTTTTTTTCCTCCTTTCTTAACTATAAAAACTCCAACCCATTCCTCATACCCAGAAGAGAAGAAAGGTGTAGCTGGAAGTTAGTAAGAGTCAAAGTGCTGTGTAGGCAAGTACTGAGATCCCCCCTTCTCATCTCAGTCTGACAAAAATCAGAAATCAAAGGCAAGCTACGTTATAAATATCAACGGAAACTTGGAGAGAGCAAGTCCCATCAGCCTGACCTACAATTTGCTTCATCAGCCCCATTATGATATTTATGGTCCAGGGGTTCTGCAAGACAGTAAAGAAGCCCTTCAATCAGCACAGTTTATAAAGAACAGGTATTTCCAAACAAAGAAAATGCCAGTAAAGAGAATCATGTAGTCAAACATCAGGCGAAAGACACGAATAGTCCAATAACAGTTCAAAAAGCCCCGTAGTTTATGCTGTAAATTGATTTGCTAACCAAACTTTTCTTTGTTGAAAGACATAATTTGGTTGATATTTTGACAAGGAATGCTGTGGTTAACACTAATTGTGGCTGGCAACAGACAACCTTCCCATGATGAAATGGACATTTAAATTTGCTAATCAATCTTCAAGTACACAAAAGTCATCCTGCTACATTTTGCAAGCACAAACACATTAATTTATACTAATCAGAAATAATACTGGAAAGATTAGACTACTATACATCTATAAAGTTACGTTTGAAAAGTTATAAAACTAGATAAACACATTTCAAGAATATTTGTTAAAAAGATAGATGTGGTATTCATGACTTCTGTATGAGTTGTATGAAAAGTCCGCCAGTTTCCTGAAAACAGGAACAGTCTTCTAATAAATACATTCAAAATATTCAAAATGAAAATATTTAGCATATTCATCCTCTCCTATCTATAAACAAAACATTACCAATCCTATTTAAATGAAAGTAAGAAAAAAAAAAAGGCCAAAAAAAACCCACAGTCAAAACACCTATGTAAAGTAGCACAAGTATTAATAAGAAAGAAAAGCTACGAAGTCAAAGATATTCTCTCTACTTGGTTCAATGAAGTGCGATATAGCTTTTTTTTCCCCCCCGAATTTAATGTTAGGGATTTTACAGAAAGAAATGAGATCAGAGCAGTAAGAATAAAGCACAGTATTCATGAAGACTAATGAAAAAAAAAAGACAAAAATCAACTGATTTGTTTGCATTTATTTTTTTTCTGCAGAGTAACATATGGCAATCCCTTAGTGACCTTGGAGTGTCTACAGCTTTTTAATGTAAATAAATAACCCAGTGTGAAAGCTGACAACTGCTCTGTGAAACAGGTGGTGAAAGCTGCTAGTGGCACCATCACATTCATATTTTAAAACAAATCAGAGAGCTTCAAGAAACAGCAAGGGTTCTCACTCCATGCTCAGAGGCATCCTGGAGAGCAAGGCACAGATTGCTGTTAGAGTGGAGACTGAAAATAAAGACTAAACTAGCAAAGACAACCAGTTTGGGCAAATCCACCCCATTGGCCACACTGAGAAGTATCAGTCCCCAAGAGAGGAAATTGAGTGACCCAAAATGTAGAACTAACAGTAACTTACCACAAAGCTGAGTGACAGTGGACTGCCACCAAATGCTACACCTCATCATTTCTGAAAAGAAAACAAGCCATTTTCCAAAGGGGACTCTAAGGCAAGCACAAGGAAGAGGAGATGATGAAGGAGCTGACTGCCTGCAGAAGCCACGTGCCAGCCTGCTGACATGCTCAGGAGGAGGACCCAGTGTGGTGACACCCAGTTAGAGCACTCAAAATCCAGGTGGTTCAGTAAATGCTTGTGATCATGAAACAAATTTTCTACTATTCAGAGTGAGATGGCCTTAAAACATCACCTGCTGGACCTGCTTTAACAACCTGTCTAAAGATCAGCTTCATCTTTAACTGAAACAGCTTTTCAGTGGCAAAAAAGCACAACACCAACAAAGACAAATATACCACATGCTGCTTTCCCTTGTGCAGCTGTATTACTAGAAGTGAACAAAATTTCAATTTAGAAAACAAACCATAAAATTCACCACTTCTCCTACCAAAAACAAACAAACAAACAAATAAATCTCCTAAACAAGAACGCAACCCTCTATCAATTCACAGCAAAACTGAGTCTGAGCACATAAAGAGGACTCCTTTATCGACTAACACTTCAGGGCAGGTCTCTATGGTTACAGCTGCAGAATTTCACTGAAGTTTTATGCATGTGAGTGCTCCTCTATTTCAAGCTTGCGGGCTTTCTGAGGATCTGAAACATGTATGTTTCAAGATCATGGGACTACAACAGTCCACACTGAGCTAGGCCTACAGCCTAACATCAGTTTTGAGTAAAGTACAGATCTTAAAAATAAATAAACAGAAAGTCCCCAAGCTACTGCACGGTAAAGCATTCTAGCCTGACAGCAGTGCCCTCTACTGCCTTCATCAAAACAGTTCCTAAAATGAACAGATGGCTCATCAGCACTCTTCCTAGAAAAAAAATAGAAAAAAAATGCAGGAAGCAATAATTGATTTATGCTGTTTAAAACCGACAACAAATGACTTTTAAAACTTGAATAAATACCTATTTTCTGTGTTCCATATAAATGCATTCAACACCTGTGCTGGCAAAAATATGAGATTTGAAGGGCTTACTATTTAAAAAAATGTATTCACAGAAATTCTCAATTTAAAACAGTAAACCAATAAAATTTAAGTTTTCCAAAGAGTTTCATTGTTACTATAATTTTAATTATCTTGTGGTATTACATTTTTCAGTGGGCATGTTATGCTTATAAGACACAGCTCTTGAATATTACTATATTTACTTACAAACATGTATGTATCAACATTGCATTAATCAGTATCTCTAGCTAGATTCTAGCTAGTTTTTGGCACAGCATGAATCAAGAATAAACACAAATCAGCCCTACCACCATATAAATAGTACCATGGGGGCAAAACTGCTTTAGTGAATGTAGGATGCCAGCAGAAAAGATCTTGTTACTTAAGCTTGTACAGGATCACAATAGCTACTCCAGCAGCAGAACTTCTGCTCTCAGATCACCACTTGTATCCCCAGAGTCTTTGCTAAGAGGGTTGTGTAATTTGATAGTTGTTATATACAGAGTAAACTTATGATACCTCATGATATATCCATGCAGTTATAAATTGAATAATGAATATATACATATATTCATTTTTATAGCTTAAACAAAAAAAACAAAACAAAAAAAACAGTTTCTCCCCTTGAAAGAGAGGCACTGGATATAAAACAGAAGACAAGTAACAGCAGGACTTGGTTTACAAACAGACATTACAGTCAACTACCTTTTCTGCAGAAGAGGCTCTTGAACGTTCCACACATACAAGTATGGGTCCCACTGTGCATATCTAGATGTAGGTTGTAGTCATGCAGTCCATACTCTGGGTCAACATCATCCAGTACAGGTTCATTAGGTGAAAGGACATATTGTCTTCAAAAATATATACAGAGAGATAAAATTAAGGGAAAAGGACTTAATAGAAAGAGATATGGTAAGCAGCCAGCACTAAAAGGCCGCTAGGAGAGGCTACAAGATGGCAAAAATCATTAGCACACACCACTTTTATTCTTTACTAATGTTTTTGAAAGTCAAATATCATACTATCTTTATAGTTCACAAATAAGATGTCTAGCCTAGCCAAAGGCAGAAAAAAAATGACAGTCAGCTTGTACATCTACAGAACATGTTTATACTAATAAAAAAAATACATCATCTTAAGTTCAAATCTAAAAGTCAACTGACCACAGGTTTCTTTGGAATGGAAATTATCGAATATTTTTCCTTGTACCTAACCTACCAGAGTAACTATTGCATATAAATGACCAGAAGGGTCAGAATTCCAGAGGCACTGAGCAGTTCTGACAAGCTCAAAAAATCAAATATTTCCTATTAAGTGAGATGGTATTAACTTTTATCTCCTGTGCAACAAGGGCCATACTGAGTGAAAGCTGTCAAATTTAAAGACTACAGGCACATACAACAAGGCCTGACCCAAATGTGTGACAGGAAGGAAAAGGGGGAATAAATCCCAGCAGTCATCCGCTAAAGCTTAAAAAAGAAAAAAGTTATGGTGTGCAAGGAAAAAATGTGCTATATTATACAAAGGAAGAGAATGAAGGATAAGCAAGCTATTTTACTAGCTTGTTTTACCCCTATTGCACTCCTAAAATTTTTTT